AATGCTGATTTTAAATTTATTTGATCAACACATCCTTAACTCTCCACTATACATATTCATGGTTTTTTCACAGCTCTAATCACCCCACTTTATGTTGGTGCTGTGGTGAGTCTTTCTTCTCTTTATTTAGTTGTTTGTTTTCATGAAAGCTTTGTTGGTTACCTGTACATTTTATTCTGTCGTGGCAAGCTTTTAGATACTTTGTGGATTTTATATTGTAGAAATTGTGTATAACATTTTATTTTTTTATTTCAACCTTCAAAGGTTGACTTCTTGCCAAAGTTTAGCGTAAGAGGGATCTGGCACAAATTGCGTGAGTCATATCCAAAAGATGGAAATGCAGTTATTGGTGGCACCATCACAGTGTTTACGGGAGTAAGTCATGTTTGTGAGCTATTTATGTGGTCTACTTGATTTCTTAGCAATTATGCCTATAATTGTGTATGTATGTGGTACTAGTCCTATTATATTTCATAGGGTATTGAAGTAAGTCTAGTCCTATTATATTTCATAGGGTATTGAAGTAAGTTGATAAGGATGTTATTGAAGTATTAGAAGGAACTACCTTTTACTCTGCTGATAATGAATTACTGAAAATGAAAAACTGATTGTTTTCTTTACAGAAACTAAGATTCAAGTATCCCCAATGAGTAGCTTGTTAACAAGAAGATTGCTCGTAATAGATCAGTTTCCTTGTTGGTTCGTACAAATATTGAGGGAAGCCAATAGTCGGTGCTAGTGGCATAAATACCTCTCATGATAAATTTTTTCATGGTCTTTGAAGCTTGGGTTGTGAAGAAATTACAAGAAAGGGTGGTTGGATTCCACCACTTTTATTTCTGAAAAAATGTCATACTTGGCGAGTTCTGTTGGACTCACCTGAGTCTGACAGAAAACTGCCCAAGCACTTCAGTGAATGCTAGGTTTCCCAGCAAGTTGGGAGCCCTCCGGAACCCGCAGGCTGCTGGTCCGGTTGGCCAAGTCTGAGTTGGACCCTGTGAGTTTGTAATCAATGGAAATGTGCGTACATAACTACATATACAAGGAGATTACTCTTCCTCTCGTCTTGATGCACTTGGATGTTGTTCTAATGGTATCATGCGTGATCTATAGAAGCAATCTTTCTTTGTTAATTAAAAGCAGCATTCTCTTTATGTACAACCCGCACTAGATTTCTATTTTGCTTCTTTGCAAGGAAAAATCAAAAGCATCTCTTGTCTTCACCAGCAGAAATAATGCTCTGGTGCATTTTGTGATTCTTTTAACATTTTGATAACTGTTTTTGTGTTCAATTATTTAATGGATTTATGTAATGACTATTAGATTGAAATTCTTTGATTAGGTTCCAACCATGTATACTAGATTACTACAAGGATATGAAGCAATGGACCCTGAAACACAAGCTGCTTCTTCATATGCTGCACGCCAGTTACGACTCATGGTAAATCTCTATAAATTTTGCATGTCATCCAAATGTTCTTCTCAGATGTGTGGTTTTGTAACTAAGTGGTCCACCTGTGGGGCTGTGTGCTTTAACATTCCATCTAATGTTCTTCTCAGATGTGCGGTTCAGCTGCACTTCCTTATCCTTTGATGAAACAGTGGGAAAGCATAACTGGTCATTGGCTTTTGGACCGTTATGGAATGACTGAGGCGAGTCAAATTGATGTTTGGCATTTATTTTCTGTGGACATTTCAAAAAATAGTAGAATAAAATGGTTAAAATTTACATTGATCTTTTATTTAGCTTATCATTTTATTTCTTTTATTTACATTGTATTAAGCATTCTAACTTAGTTTCTGTTTCTATGATTGTGTACAGTTTGGTGTGGCTCTATCAAACCCTTTGAAAGGTGTTCGAAAAGCTGGCACTGTTGGTCTACCGCTTCCAGGAGTTCAGGTTAGCTCAAAGTCTTAACAAGCGCGACATTAAAATTTGGCTTCTATAGTCACTTGATTCAACTTCATTAAGGAACAAATTGGGCAGTATAACATGCTGATTAAAAAGCATTAGAAAATTTGTGTTCAATAGGTTGTGTGTGTTGTTCTTTGTTTGAAAAGCCATTGAAGTACTTTCCAGGCAATGTTACCTATTTTTGAGGAATACATCGCTATTCAATTTATTGATCTTCTAAGTTTGCAGAAATTTCTCATCCTATGAATTTGGTTGAAAATTTTAGATATCA